TTTAATTTCAACATCAATAAAATTATTATGTTTATGACAATAAATAATTTGTTCTGTTAATTTTTTCTATTTCAAATCAAGATCGGAAACAAATTTGATAATGCATAATGACGGTTTATGACGAATTTCATTTGTCATTTGTCGAATTTTGTTTTTGACTTGATTCGATTTTCCAATTATCGATTGGTTTCATTAACTTGTTTTTCTCTGGTTCAGTTTTTTATTCGTTAGATTGACTTTCACATTGATGTAATTCTTCATTCAATTTTTTATGATGTTCAGCTATGTGATACAAGCAAAAATCTTGAGAACATCCACTACATTTTATTGTGTTTTTGACTTTTTTTTCATTTAACACATGAAGTTTTGCCTGTTGTCATGGCCATATTAAAATCTAGTCTGAAAATAAAAGAAATAAACAAGAAAGGATTGATAATATGCGATAACAGCAATATTTGAGTTCTTTTGTTTACTATGTCAATAAAAGAGTTCTTTCATCAACAAAATGCAATTATTATTACATCAGCTTTTAACCATACAACATCAATTTCAGTTTGACCTGTACTTATATTACATAAAATAGCCATATCACGCATTTCCATTATATGTTCATCACGAATTAATCCAATTGAACCAGTAGCTGATACAAATATTCGACCAATTTTACATGCTTCAGCCATTGTTATTACTTTATAATCTAAAGCAATTCATTCATCATACATTATAGCTAATATATAAATATTCTTTATCATTAAACATAAATTGGATCGGTTTTAGTAATCTGTTATTTCATTATTACTACCATGTATCATACGTGTCAGGCGTGGATATTTTTCATGTATAGTTCGTGCTAAAATACAGCCATTATGCACAAAAGCATTTAATGGTTGACTATCAGCAAAGCAGATTGCCTAAGAGAGAAGAAAAAGTCAGTGATTTAGATAACTATGCATCAATAGTACGATGAACAAGCAGGATAATTCTCGCTTAAAACGAATAGTTAAACAAGTATTCTATTTGCATTAGACATTGGTTTTAGACAAAAGATTGCATTTTTTTAGAGAAATCACATCGATCGATAAACTTTTCTTTCGAAAATTTTATAATTTTTTTCAATTTTCAATATCTATTTTTAGAAAAAAAATAAATATTTGCATACGAGTCATTACAAGTATATCGAGTAAAACAAGTATACATATTCTATATTGTTATTATTATCAAACATATATTCATGAATTTGTAAGAAAATTAAGAAAAAAAAGTTTCTCATTTACCTGATCTATGCATCATAATCTTCTACAGCGATTTTAACTAATGTAGCTGCTACTTGATTTTGTTTTGATAATGGATTACAGAACCCTATTGAATCTATTAGAGAATAATTGTATCTTAAGAATTAGAACAGAAAATAAGAACATAATTGGATAGAGTATCAATTACATACATATATTGTTTTATTCGATTTATTTTGTGTTTTGCCCAAAAATTTGATGAATTTCGAAAAGCAGTCTAAAATCAGATTTTATCTCGAAATTTTGGGATCATTTCACAGTTAGTTTTTTTTAATAAATAATATCTACTGGAGTACTGAAAAATTTTATTTATATGTGGAAGAATAGATCGTTTATTTTTCTATCGAGTAACTATACTTTTCATTGGATTTATTCCTTATCTTTACTATCGATTTGTTAATTTTCTGAGAAAATTTTTGTGAACTTTTCTTTTATAGATTGTTCTCTGTTTTTTTTTCAAGCAAATTTTGGTTACTTAAGCATGTAAATTTGTTTTGTTTGATGCATGACTTTATAGACTATCGATTTCTGTATTGATTTATATAGTTTTGGTCCAATTTCCATCAGGTTTTACAGATAAAATCTTGCGAAAAGGAAAAATAAACTTCTTTTTGCATAGATACAAAAATGTCTCAAATTTAAACCGTCAAGTTCAATTTTCTCTTTTATTTCAAATCCGTTTTTTTTTCATATTCTCTAAATATTCTAGTTTGATGCAAGCTCTATCTAACTATATGAAAATAAAAAATATCCTAGATTTTATATAAATACGCAAAGTGAACAAAACTATCAAGAATAATGTAATCAAGCAGCGCCGGTACGAAAAGAAAATGTTCTAGATATCGTTTATGCATTAGATATGATTTTTTGTAAGTTGATATTGATTACGTTTTAAAGAGTTTGTAGTGCGAAATGTGTACGAGTTTTTTCTGTGACTTAGTGGAAAGATATTGTACAAAAATGTGCTACGACAATACGTGAGGGATGCTATTGGTATAACGAATTTTTATGAAGCTAAATTCCTTTTATCTGTCTGTGTTTCCAAAAAAAGGTCACAATACACTAAATGACAATCATGAAAAGAGACGTTTCTTGTCACTTTGTTATTCAATTTGTAGAATATTTGTATGAAATATCATGCATATAATGAACTTAATGTTGTATTTCTTTTCCCGCTTTCGTTTTTTCATTGTCTTTTTTTTTCTTGCATCCTTTCGTTTTCTTTTCGTATTTTATAGACATCGAGGAGTGTGTCTAATCTGATTGGGAGGATTTACTAATAATAAGGGTACGATCTGTCTTTATCTTCTATTGGTTCAATGATGTGAGAGCATTCGGTCACTATGTAGCTAGACGCTCTGACCTCATGAACGGCAATAGATGCCCGGTCACTCTATTTTCTCTCTCGTATATAAGCTGATGTTCTATATGAAATAGACACAACCGAAATGATAGAGTAGTGTAGTGTAGTGAACATCTGTATCAACGATAGCTATAACACTACTTCTTCAATTCGTCATTGTTGGTCATAAGAAAATACAGAATGCATTAGTAACGAAAGGGAACATTATCTCATCTCTCTCGTTTTTATTACGACTATGTGATTAACTAATCAGACGAATCATGCATCGAGAAAATGTGTCTTCTGAAGAATGCAAGTGAAGCTCATTTTGGATGTGGATATCGGTCGATAGGCATAGGTATAGATAATTTCTTTATCTACATCCATATTCAAGCTTTTTTTTTAATATTTCTGACATAATTAGGACATCTTTTAGATTCCCACGTGTTAGATTCGTATTCTATTTTGAGGTCTTCAGAATCTATTTTGTATGTTTTATTTGAAGAAATTTTCTGTACGTCTGTTTTTCGTTCTGTTTTTTTGGAGGAATGTGAGATTTTTGATTTTTTGCTGTGATAATACTGAGAAAAATTCGTAGCAGTTTTACACAGAGCTGGGCATGCTAAATCAAAAATGCTCCAAGTCCAAGTCAAGTCAGGTCAATTGACGTGATTTTGAATTTTTTTGAAGCCAAATTATATGTAGTAACGAATTTCCGTTTAGTACAGACGTTTTTTTACCACGAAACAGAACTCTGAGGTTGTAGAAACTGTCTTTCATCCGAAAACTGTCAGCAAATGTTAGGTTCTGACAGATTTTTAAGTAGACGTGGCTTGACTTGATTTAAAATTTTTTTTAATGACTTGACTTGATGTGTGACTTGAAAAATCTCTGACTTGTCCAGCTCTGATTTCACAATGGTTATAGTCTAGCTCTCGAATTCTCTAACTAAAAGCTTTTTCTGCTTGTTCTAAATGCGAATTTTTCAACCAAGAAGAGCAGCTTCTATGAACAGGTAAATATTCTTGTATAGTATACACGACGATTACAAAAAAAGAATCATAAAATACATATTACTATGAAATGTTTTCTTTTACAAAAAAAAATGTTTCCGCAAGTTTCAGATGAGTTATAAGGCTGTCTCAACGCTTGAGTGTCTTCCAAACGAGATATTATTAGTAATCCTACAAATAACAAACTCTTATGATCTGTTTTCGACCTGGTACAATTTAAACTTTCGTTTCAACAATTTAATCAAACAATTACGTTCGTGGAACTTATCTAATACATCATACTTGCATTTTCTAATATGTTCTTCTGTATTAACTAATCATCAAGATGAAATTTTATCATTGAAATTATCTAACATTGATACCATAGAACAAATTTTCTTATTCTTTCGCACGCTTCCATTGCATAATTTTCACAATTTACAATCATTGTCAATCATTAGAGTCAAGGAAGTTGAACTAAATGACCTGATCTTAAAAATACCAGCATTGAATCACTTATCATACTTATTCATTGACTGTCATACAACATATTATGACGATTTTATATTGAATGATATTACTTCATTATCATTATGCTCACTGACTCTCAATTGTAGCGGTAAGGTTCATTGTGATTGGTCAAACATCGGTTGTCTATGCCCTAATTTAATATATTTGAATGTCAATACCCGACTTTATGTTGAAGAATACATCCAATTGTATTCTTCACTTTCAAATAATTTAAAGAAATTATCAATTTATTTGGGTAGAGATATAAATCATTCAGAAATTGCAACGTGCACTGATCTATTAATGTTACATATGAACACAAGTGTCGAAGAATTATCCATTAATTTGGATTCATACGTGTCATTTAATGAATTTAAGATTATAATTCAAAAATTCACACACTTGACAAAATTATCGGTGGAAATGACGGTATCTTGGGATATTAGCGATGTTGAAAGTCCTTTGAACGGCTTCCAGTGGGAACAACTCATTTCAACATATCTACCGAATTTATATGCACTCAACCTTCATGTTGCAACAGGTAAAAAACAATTAGATGAAGAAATGGATTCATTTGAAACGGATTTTTGGATTCAACACAATTGGTAAGCATATGTTAGGGATTTTCACTCTTCAAAGTATATATTCTGAACATACATGAGTATACACATACAATCCGATAGCTCGTTGTCAAAAGAGAAACACGAGTATATATAAATATTGTCGTCCAAGGATCGAGGAAGATATCACATCAGATGCCAAGGCCTATGTAGCGTCGGCGAATAAATGAGTGAAATGAACTACATCAACTGAACAAAGACAAGTGACAACAAGTACAAACAGAAGATGAGAGATCAGAAGTTCAAGAGAAGGGAAGACGGCCGAAGAAAGACGTATTGTGAGAGCACATGTCTGCGATAGCATGTTTGAATAATTTTTCTAATATGATAATCACTTTATCAACTAATTTGAAAAACTACAGTCGTAGAAGGAAATATCACTACTAGGCGAAAATTGTTTTACTACGAAAAGTTTGTCTTCAAGTATGTATCCAAACTAGAGTTCGATGAACCCAGATCGAAAGCACCGATCCAAACACTATTTTCATTGAAATAAAAAAGATAGAAGAACAATATTATAGATTTTTAAAATACCGCACTATCTTCATCTAAGAAATAGATCTCATAATCGCTTGAAAACCCAGTATTTAGTGTCTTTTCGTTGAACACTTTTACCTCAAATCGATCTTGTTTTTCTAAGTTACAAATCATGTAATCAATTATTTTCTACAAATTCTACAATCCTAACCATTAGAAAAACTAAACAACTCAACAAGGATATGCTATATCATTACAAGACTCAACAGATAATAAAAACAGGGAAAAAATTCAATGGTCCTTTCATGTGATAAATAGGATTTGTCTGCATTTCTAGACTCATAAAAAATATTACACTTTTGTAGTTTAATGATAAAATCATCAACGTACTGACATTTACCTAAAGACTTCTATTTTATTGTATTTAATCTTCACAAAACTTTGTTTCTAGTATAAGATAATGAATTGTGCTACGATCACAAAGGAGAATTTTAGAACGGATCATTAATTTGACATTTTGATTCATGAAAACAAAACAAAAAAATAAACAACGTTTATGATATTTCGTTTTGTCTAATAAACTTTATGCTTTTTTTCACGATATCAAAAAGTTCCGATAAAGCCTATCCTTCACATAAAAGAGTGATTCAGTATTTCCCATTTTAACATTTGTTTAGATTTGTAGTGGTTGAGTGCATCTGTGTTTGGATCTTGATTTTTGATAATATCTACGATTCTGAAATTCTCAAAAAATGTTGTGTCTTGATAGAAGATTTCATGCGAAAATTTTCGAAAGTGAATAGCTGAAACTAGTCTAAATTACAAGTGATTCCAAGAAAAAATAATCATTATGTAGTAGATCAGTGGATATACATACAAAGAATGACTTATAACTTAGAAAAAAAAAACATTTGAGGTGAAAGTGTAACAGAAAAAAGCGGAAAACCACTGAATTTTTAAGCGATGGCTCGCATGCGATTACTACTATCTCTATTATTTCAAAAGAAATAATGTTTGTATTGGCGTTTGCAATCAGAATTCATCGAGCTTTACTGTAGATGCACCTTTGAAAATAAACTCTGCGTGATAAAGTAGTTCTCACCTCGTATTGGTATATTTCTTCTTGTTCTCACCATTTTTAATTATTGATGTACAGTTCTATTTTTAAATTGTTACCAAAAGATTGTTCTAGGAATAATTCATATATTTCCTGTTTGTAAAGCACGAAGCATGACATCTTTACTTTTCAATTACAAATTTGATGTTCATTTAGGTTTGTTGATTTTGATTATGGCATACTTTATACAACGCCATATATGAAAAGAGAATTAACGTTATCTTTGGATGAAGAGTTATTATGGTTACCTTCAAGAATTTTCAATAGATATAATCATGTAGAAATATTAACGCTGAATTTCGGTAGTACTTTTCGATGGTTCAATAAAGGTTTACCATCATTTGTATTTTCAAATGTTTGTCATTTATCATTATGGTTTACAAATGACTACTATGAAAGTGATAGTGATGGTTTATGTTGTCATGTTATTCATTGCAGTCTGAAACCAGATGATTATCGGTCAGTTTGCATATTTTTGAATCAAATTGTGTCATTATCGAATCTACAATCATTAACTATTAATGGCTTACTACCAGAAAATTTTTTGATCCAGTTACTTCGTAGCACAACAAATTTAACGAAACTAGAGCTTGATGATTGGAAAGGTGAGCCATCAAATTTAAGATCTTTGTGTAGAGTACCAGTAATAACAATCTCAACTATCTTTTAGGCTTATCTATTAGAATTGATCTTGTCGACTTTATGTTTGAAAATAGCCACTTATTCAAAAATATTCAACATCTCACTGTAATTGGAATGATGCACGACGTAATAGATATTAAAAATGTCGAAGTGTTTGTTCATATTTTTAACAATTACCGGCGTCTTAAAGTGTTACATATCGAAGTGTCAGACGAAGATTCTTTTCCAGTTTTACGATTACTATTAAATGAAATGAACTCATTGTCATTCATAAGTATTAAATCATATATCATTAAACATAAAGTTCAAACAATATTAGAATTGTTAAAAGAAGTATTATATGAAATTGAATATCAAGCAAGTATAAAAGATGACATATTATCAATTTGGTTCTAATTTAAGAATATGAGAAAATACTTCACTTCATTTTCATGCAAAAAATAATTTATAGGATGGATGTTAATATACGAATGTAAGTGTGGCGCCTGCTTGTGATTAAAGAGATAGTTCACACCTACACCCTTTGTTGTTCAAGGAAAAATTTACTTGTATATGCATTTTTTAGTTGTATCATTTTAACAGTTGTCCTGATCGTGTTATTTTCAATAGTAACATATCATATTGCTTCTTTTACTAATGGCATTTGGTAATTTAGAATCCATTAATCATAAATTCATTTGTTTTTTTTTGTAATAGTCTTTGTAGAACATATGCTGTTTTTTTTTCAAATGAAATAAAATATAATAGATAAAAAGTAACATAATTTTATTCTGTTAAGAAATTTAATGATCATGAATATGTTCCATACTAACCAAAATAAAGATTAATAAAAAAATATCTAAGTTATTGCTATATTAATCTCAATAAATGCCATTCGTGATTTTTATCTTATTCAAAAGATTCTCGTATATAATTTAATTGAAATATCTTTCATCAATTACTTTATCGAATGAAAACTGTCATCAACTTCAATGAATAAAAATATAATCTAATGATTGATTTTCTCTTTCAACTTTTTCTAGGCTAAGTTATATTTCCATAATCAAATGACTATTTTTTTACTTAAATGTGATTATGTAACCATAAATTCAATCAAAATATTGAATGTTGTCGCTGTTAAAATATCAATAAAATCAAATTAAAACTAAAATTTATCTTTTCATTTTTCCATTTATAAACAAAATTTATTTATTTTCAACAAACGTGTAATATTGATTGTGTTTTAATTATCGAATACTAGTTTGAAAGGCGTCCAACCGCGTTCTAATGTCGTTTATTACTAAACAAACGCACACACGCTTGATGATATTTCGAATTTTTTCATTAACTAAAAAAGTTGCAACTTCGTTACAATATTGATTCATTGTTGTTGTTACATGACATGTTCACTTCAGTTCAACAAAGGTTCGTACAGAGAAAAAGGCAGGAAAATTATCACCAAGCTACACGTGATCGTTGAATCTTTTGCTTTCATTGTCATGTGAAATATCTATAATACGTATATGACATTTCTCACATGTAATGAAGTTTCTTAAAATAATAATTATATATTCTGAATTATATTAGATGAGAAGAGTCAGCTTATTTAAATAATTTGATTGCTCAACAATGTTCATATAGTATGTGTAACAATTTATCTTTAATTCTAAAATTAAATTGAAATTGTTCTTTAAAATTTAAAATCAAAATTAAAGTTAAGTAAATTTTTTTAATTTGTATATCTTTTTATTTAGTTGTGATACTTGATATGTTTTCAATCGTATTAAAAGTCTATAGAACTTATTTGTTAACAAAACTAATGAAATTTAAGCTATACAATTAAAAAAAATTACGTTTTCTTGTATAAAAATTGTTCGCTTGGTTTTGCTAGGACATCTTGGCCTCTCCCTTGATTTGAATACTTTTATTTAATAGAATATAAAAAGCTAACAAAGATTTTTTTCCTTTAAGTTAAACTTTGAATTTCGTCTCTGCAGTTAAAGTAAACACTCTAACTGTATCTCTACATTTAAATCATTTATACATTAAAGTGCAACATCTGATTGCACTTCACCCAAGTACGAAGCTGATTTTATCAAAAAAATACCCAAGTGCAAAAAATCTTGCTAAGATCATATAAGATCTTACTGACAATTGAATATTGTAAGATTCATACTGTATGATCTTATAAAATGGTACAAAAATCTGACTGTAAGATTTAACATGCTTCTTACACTAAGATGCTACAGTGAATCTAATATGATTCTTACTATAAGATTCTTACAAAGTCTGATGAGCGGTATCTTGTAGGATTCTATAGGATCTTACAATATTATACTTTTATCTTTCCTTTTATGAACAGCTTTTATGACGTTAGTTCTTTTGCATTTAAATAAATATTTGAGCGGTTGAATATACGCTAATCTAAATGGTACACCTTTTACAATCGAAAAGAAATCTCCTGCTTAGATATCACATCACTTATCAAATTCATTTGATCAATAAAATAGGATCACTAACATGGTCGATAGTGGACATTATATTTATGTAAACAAATAGTTTCTTTTTATGTATATCAAAATCAACACCATCATAAAGAGTAAGTATCATTGAAATAAACAATTAATTAATTTGTATTTAGATAAAGCTCAACAACATTATCAATAGGTATATATTTTTTTTTTTATATAAATAGTAATTATCTTTTTATTCAGATAAGGGCCCAGAAATGTCATGAACGTGTAAGTATTAGTTTTTATTAAATAAAGAATTTTTGTTTATTTATTTAGATAAAGCTCAACAACATAGCCAATAGGTATGTATGAATTTCATTATATAAATAATGTTTCTTTATTTGTTTAGATAAAGATGAATAACATGCCAAATAAGTAAGTATGAATTTTATTGAATAATTAATTCTTTTTTTTTGTTTAGATAAATCTCAGAAATATTGTCAATATTTAAGTGTGAGTTTTATCAAAAAAATTAGTTTTTTTTAGCTCAACAATATGATGAAGGGTGAGTATAGTACAAGTAAAGAAACAAGTTTTCTTGTATTTCGAAAAGGGAGTTCTGGGGGGGAGGGAGAGAACAAGAAATTCAACTCTAAACTGTATTCGAAGATTCTATAAACTCTATCATGATTTTAATAACATCTTACAAGTTCGTATACGATTTTGATATGATCTTCTACGATTATACAGTAAGTTTCTATATGAACTTGTAAGAATCGTACGAGATCTTATAGACAGATATTGCTTGACCGAGGTATGTTCAGATTTCGGAAAAAGGAAATTACAGAAATTTCCGAAGTTTCCATCAACTCGATTACTACATAGCAGAGCAAATAAAAGTTTCTTGGAAATTTTAGAAATTTCGCTAGGTACAGAATTTTGGAAATTACATGCTTTTGGGAAGTACTAAACAATTTAGAACACAACTGCTTGAGATTTCTGAAACTTCCAAAATTTCCTTTTTCGGAAGTCTGAACACTGCTGGCTTGACCTGGGTATAGTGATAATATGAAGTAAATGAGATACCCATTCACATATTTATATTTCATACATTGCAAAATTACAGCTTTATGAAAATGAAAGACCGACATAGATGCTCAGAAGTTTTCTGATCTATAATCATTTTTTCTTACATGTTCCGCACAATAGCTAGCAAATCATACTTTTAAAATTATTTATTATCGAAAGAGATCAGTATATTCACTACAATAAAGCATGAGAATCTACTTGCATTCACTTTGATGAAATAATCTGCAGCAGTGACGATAACAGATGCATTCAAAACGATAAACATGATTAAATTCATCTTAGTTATATAATTATCAGTGACGAACTGTATTCAGCCACGTGACTGGCAGCGCAGAATGCCAAAGATATATACAAGAAGTGCACGTGATTGCATGCCTTCGATGAAGAACGTTCTATCATATTCAACATAACGTTTTCTGCAGCAATAAAGGCCGTGAAGTGCAAAAACGAAAGCATGCTCGCTCAAATGCATTTCATAGTTATTTTGAAATTATCCTAGATATGTCTTACTTAAGAAACTCGTTTCAATACACGCAGATGGTGTGAAATGCGTTTAAACTGGTTTGAAATGTGTTTCTTGCTTACATATGATTCAACATAAAAGTTCTATTATTAAACAGCGTATTGGTGAAAAAGAAACAACACAATAGAAAACTGTTGTTGAACTTGATGTATTTCTAACAAGTAGTAATATTTGACATTTCAAACAAGGGTATGTGTGTCGATGAAGATAGGACCTACTATCACACCACTTATTTGAAGATAGAAGTAAATTAAAAGACCTTAAATTTTCACAATCAACTTCTTTCTTTGAGGCCTGCTTCTACGCAAAGCTTAAAGTCAAAATTCGAAAATGAGCTTTCCTCATGCTTATAAAAGTACGGGTAACATATAGATCTACAAGTGCACCTCTATACCCTTTTCGAAAAGATTTCACTGGAAGAACGTTTAACTTGCATTCTTATCGAAAAAAGAATAAAAACTGGATATTATTAATTTACAAAAAAGAAAGTCTTGTTCTATTTTCCGCATATGTAGCATAAAGAGAATGTCGTCGTCATGAACATCGATGTTGTGGGTATTTTTAATGTCATATAATCCACTTTATGATGTCTTTGGGAAACGTTGATAAAAGACAACAAGTCTTTTTTGAAGGAATTCTAAAGTACGGCTAAATGTTAAATAAAATCATACTGTTTCATTCAAAATGTTGAAGCCTATGACACATGTAAAACTTGACTGTTGAATTCAATTACTCAAAAATCTTTTTAAAAATTGTCTGCATAACTGACCTTTTATTATCTGCATCACGGCAAAAGCGTACCTGTCACTTCTCGAAGAGCTGTGACATATGCTCGTCTCTGCGGCGTACAGATCAAAGTCTATCTTTATTTTATACTTTGATTGTACTGAAACGGACATATAGAAAAGGATGTATAAACAGAACGCAAAATCTAAACGAACCAGGATAGTATGGGATTTTTTTTTTATCGTTTCCAATCGAAAC